TGTTTCTCCACCTTTTTTTTCATTATTACTTCCTTAACGAGTCTTTTTTGACCTTTTATTTTATTTTAATTTTTGGAGGCTGGCTGGTAAGAAGTTTTTAGACCTTTTAATTCTAATGAACCACCCCACGATGTTAATATCACAGATATAATGTACATCTGTTTCTGTATTATATGTGTACTCATGCTTTATACATAAAAAGAGTAAGATTTTTTTTCTCCCCAAGAACAGATTTTCACAAAGAACGCATGGTATAAGCAATGAAGGGTTTACAGTAGTAAAATGTTTATTTTTTTATAATTTAAAAAATAAGTGGGGAGAAGAGAAATATATTTTAGCCCTTAGATATGTAGATTATTTCCAAAATAGTTTAACGCTCAACTAGTCAGTTGTATCAGAATCAATATTCCCTGAAGTAGGCATTGTTCTCAGCTACAGGCAGTCCTCATTTTGCACGGTAGTGTGGGTCTTGTCTTCTTTTAACAAATGAGGGCAGAGGAGTATGAAATGCAGGGAGCTGTTAGCCTCAAAGGAGCTAAATGACATGAGGAATCTTCTGAGAACAGGGAGATAGCAGACACACATGAGAGCTGAGCTTTTCTGGGCCCCTCTGAAAGTTCCTGTGCACAGAGGATAGCCTCATTTTTCTGAGGTGACTATCATCATACATCAAATTGCACCTTCTGATTTTCTTGCTGTTTCTACACAAAGAATACTGTCTCCTAGAATAATAACTAACATCTGCAGAGTGTATACCGTGAGGGGCCTTCGAGACATTCATGGAAAATGCGTATTATAAAAAAACTATGCATGGATTTCAAAATTTTTTTGCACCAAAATAGATTTGTATTAACTTGTTATGTCTGAATAGTTTGAGACACTCAGAAGAATAAGGCATCAGTTCAAAAAGAGCCACTATCAGAGAACATGAATTCTGTTAAAACTGAAGCAAGGACAAAGGTCAAATTTACGGTGAAGCTTGGGTGGAGGAATGGTGAAATCACTGATACTTTACAAAAAGATTATGGGGACAATGTTCCAAAGAAATCAGCAATTTACAAATGGATAACTCATTTTAAGAAAGGACAAGACGATGTTGAAAATGAAGCCCAAAGCAGCAGACCATCCACATCAATTTGTGAGAAAAAATTAACCTTGTTCATACCCTAATTGAAAAGGACTGACAATTAACAGCAGAAACAATAGCCAACACCATAGACATCTCAATTGGTTCAGCTTACACAATTCTGACTGAAAAATTATAGTTCAGCAAACTTTCCACTCAATGGGCGCCAAAACTGTTAAGCCCAGATCAGTTGCAGACAAGAAGAGCAGAACTTTCAATGGAAATTTTAAACAAGTGGGATCAAAATCCTGACACACTTCTTCAAAGAATTGTAACAGGAGATGACACACATGGCTTTACTAATATGATCCTGAAGACAAAACATGATCAAAGCAATGACAACCAAGAAGTGGAAGTGGTCCAGTCAAAGCAAAAGCATACTGGCCAAGAGCAAAGGTCACAGCAACAGTTTTTTGGGGATGTTCAAGGCATTTTGCTGGACTTTCTGGAGGGCCAAAGAACAATAACATCTGCTTATTATGAGAGTGTTTGGAGAAAGCTGGCCAAAGCTTTAGCAGAAAAATGTCTGGGAAAGCTTCACCAGAGTCCTTCTCCACCATGACAGTGCTCCTGCTCATTCCTCTTATAGAACAAGGGCAATTTTGCAAGTTTTGATGAGAAATCATTAAGCATCCATCTCACAGCCCTGATTTGGCTTTCTGACTCCTTTTTGTTTCCTAATCTTAAAAAATCTTTAAAGGACACCCATTTTTCTTCAGTTAATAATGTAAAAAAGACTGCATTGACATGGTTAAATTCCCAGGACCCTCAGTTCTTTAAATGGCTGGTATCATTGCTTATGAAAGTATCCTGAAGTTGATGGAGGTTATGTTAAGAAATAAAGTTTATATTTTTAATTTTTAGCTTTTAATTCCATTTTTCCATGAACTTTTTGAAGTCCTCTTGTATGTGTCAAGGGTCATTCTAAGACCTGTCTAATCTCATTGAATCCTCACAGCTGTACTATTATCGTCCCTATTTAGCAGGTAAGGAAACTAAAGCACAGAGATAAAGTTACTTAAAGATTGCACTGGAAGTCCAGTTAACTGGGAATCTGAAGCCAGAGACCATAGCAGTAAACCATCTTTGGAATTTACACAATTCTGACCCACCTAGGGTCCAGCATGGGAAAACAGAGTGGGCTGTGCCTGTAGACTCAGTGTGAGAGGATACAAAAAAGAACTTAGCTAAGGAGTACAGTGGTTGAATGCCTTAATTAAGCTTGGCTGTTGATAACTTTATTCCTAATCCATTGCTGTCCCCTGGTGGTTTTCCTGGGAAACTCATAGGCCAAAGAAATGCAAAGGTCTAGTGAAATTACTGGTTTGAAAAGAACCGGACTGAATGAATTATTTGCTCATAGACACTTTGTAGAAACTCAACTAAGAAAAGAGTTCCTTCCTTTTGCCCCAACCTAACAACAGATAATTTTCCAAGGTCCACATTACCTCCACTCAACTGTGAATACAGCTGTAATCCCTGTGCCACCAAAAGCTGATTGATAGTACATTGATTTAAAACAAACAAAATATGCTCGTATACGCCCCATGATTATACTTGTACTCAAAAGTAGGAAACTCTAAGACTTAATTAATTTAGCCATTACTTGCTACAACTTCACATTTCATCTTCAAGCTTCTGGGCTTTCCTCATCATAGCAGAGGGTTCCCAAAAGATCAGTGTCTCATCCTAACCCTACTCCCTTACCTGTCCCCCCACGAATTCAGTTCCCTCAGCCTTTCAGGTGTTGTTGTTATTCAACTAGGTGAGGTGTGATTTTATCACTTCTTTCAAGTATACTTGGTGGTATAAGATTGTGCAAAATTAAGCAAAACAAGGTCATTTTGTATAAAATAGATAAGGTCTAACTGGGCAAAAAGGAGAAAAAATGCATTTTTTAAAAGAATCATGTCTTCAGTGCACTCTGGGACCACTGAATTGGTGGCTCACCTTCCACGGATCTAGGGGAAAATACTCCGTCTGAAAGCAGGTGACCACAGACAAATGCAGAAGACAAGACTGATAAGTTTTATTTATTCAAAGGTACATTTCCAGGTGCAGAAAGAGGTCACAAGTTAATGTTGTTAAAAAAAAAAATCAAACATCTGCTAACCAAGTGCTGCATTTAATGAAAACCACCTAAGACAGAAAAAGAGACATAATACACCAGAGAACCAGCCATTCAGAATTTTTGCCACAGAACACCTCCTCTCCAATCAACTGCTAGACACCATTGCAGAGCCGCCGCATGGCGCACTCTCCAGTGCGCCACCGGGCCGGCCCATCAAATGTAATTTCTAAAGTGCTCTTTCCCCTCTTATATCAATGGTACATAAATGAAGCCTTACATGAATAATAATTTTATATTTAAACAATTTCTCATGTATTTGGCAACTTGATCTAGCCTTTTCCAACTGTAACCATGAAGAATAGAGAGTAAAAAAGTTAGATTCTTAGGTGTAAGGAAACTTTCTCATTAGCTGGAAATGGAAATGTCATAGCACAAAAGATGGTCCAAAGAAATGTATGGCTGTATGAATAATTTCAAGGACAACAACCCTTTGTAGTAATATAGTTCCAGTTAACTTAAACTGTTTTCTAATAATATACCTCATTAGAGATCTCTGCCTTGACTTATTACACTCATACTATGAGCTGTCCCTTCTAATTCTTAATAACTCACTGACACTTTACAGGTCCTTTCTTACGTGGACATTAGCTTACTTGTCATTAGTTACCACCTCTCTTTTGTACTCAAAGATTTCTTCATAACACAACGTTTGAGTAACAGGGGTACCCAGCTTCTCCAAACTTGCTTTGTAAGTTTTTCAAGACTAGCATATATTAACTACTGTTTCACTTAGTGCTTAAACTAACATAATTTGAGCTATTTTCAAATTAAATGTAATGCACTTAACAGATAATATCTATCAAACATTGAGTACCTCCTTTGTATCAGGCTCTGACTAGGCACTCTGCACACATAATCAAGGTTCAGAAAGGCCCATTATTATATGAATACTCCACAAATTAGTCTACAAATCTGTCCCTGACCTTTAGGGTCTCCAATATGCCTTAAGCACAGACTCCCTATATTTCAGTCTCTTTAGAATGTTCTTTAATTATTTGCCTTTTTTAGCAAATAAATGGCCAGATTCTTCCTGGTTCTACTTGATTTCCTTTCAAGAAATGCACCTTTTTCTTCATGGAGAAAAGCAATCCCTTTACGTCCACTATTTTTATACAAATTCATATCTTTAATATAGGCCTACTCCAGCAGAATCTACCTCAATGTGCTTGGTAGAAAAAGAAGAGGGTAAAGCAGGGGTAGGTCAGAGGTGAAGGTGGGGGCTGAAGGGGTGAGGCTAGAAAGGAGAGTGAAAAAAGCTACCACTCTGCTATGAAGCTAACAAACTAGTGCCCTCTTAAGGGATTAATGGAGAAACCAGAATTTTCTGAAGACAATGAGGCAACTTGGATCTCGAACTATTTGGTGCCTGGCTAACATCTTCTAACATTACACAGGATTTGGAGTTATAAGACTCAGCTCAGCTCTAAACCTAGGCTGTAATATTTCTTACAGGAGTGGACTCTGTCCATACTGTATAACATTAGAGGCTCAAATTCTTTCATCTGTAAAATAGAGAGAATACCACCTCTACATAGGGTGGTCATGAAATCAACATTTTAATAGTGAAATATTGTGTATAAAAATGGCATCATCAGGCCCATGCTAACCATCAGGAAATAGTGAAAGAACAAAGGGACTCATGATTCCTAAAACTCAAACCCATCTCCTTTCCCTCAGGCTTCCGCTTTCTCGCCATACAAATGAGGGGCCCTTTACCCAGTCTTTGCTTCCTGCCCCCTGCCCTCAGATTTCTAAACCAGTCCCAAGGCTTCCAGTGTCCTCAACAATAATGTCACTTACAGCAGGGTATTCACTCTTCACCGGTAGTTTATTCAGGTAGCTATAGGTCTTGCCTTTTTGGATGGGGCAATTGATTCCACTCTTACAACCATCAGGCTCAGGAATGGGAAAGGGAACTGGGAAGCCCATCACAATGCCATGCACCAAGGCTGTGCTATTTATGGATTGGATACCTAAGAGAAAAAAGAGAATCAGATGGTGAAGAAAACAACCTATTTCCAAACTCTAAATCAAAAACTCAGATATATTCTCAAGCAACGACATTGTTATAATAGCAGATCATAAAGCCTGTATTTGTTAATTCCTTGGGTCTATTTCTCTTTGTAATTATGCTTAGTATATAGCACAGTATAAGCATTTACTCTGAAACTAGAAAAATTACTGAATTATGCAATAGAAGCCTTCAACAGGAGTTGTCTTCTTTGCTCTCAACCCCACCTCACTCTTCACTGCCTTTCACAGTTTCTCATGAGAATCAGAGCTATCTAGATAAGTAGCCTTATCCTACAAGGCAACTGATTTTTGGCAGTAAACATCTGTTTAATATTTACATAAGCTTCTGTCAGTGTTTTGTGTGTCTTAAATGCCATGGTCTGTAACAACAGTAAAATAGGTAATCCTTTAGAAACTGAGTAAGATTAAAAAGAGAAACATTTCTTGACAAATTCTACCCTCCATATCACAAATATGGGCAGGAAGGAAGAAAGATATTATAAAATTAGGATAACCAGAGTTATGAGCTATTAGGTTATTTTAGAGATCCAGAGTATTGACTCTTTCTTTCTGTCTGGGTTGGGGATGACTTTTGTTTAGAAGGCGTTTTTCTGGTTTGGAACAATAGAGGGGCCAGGGTATAGTATAGGAGAGAAAGCAGAGAACTAGTATTTAGGGCTGTCTTTAGGCTTATAAACAAGAGATGACAGGAACTTTGAGGTTTCTTATTAGACTGTCTAGTCTAGTTCCACAAAACAGAAAATGAGGGAAAGATTCAAGGCAGATGCCCTATCTAGAAATAAAGACTTACATTTGTCTAGATTTTTGGGAATTTTGAAGGTGATAAATATGATACAAGAAAGCAATAAATTCCAATAATATTTCTTCTACTTGAAGAAGAAAGCTCAGATTCCTTGATTGCTTCTTAGGTCCCCAGTGGGTTCCCTAAACCTTACAGAGGCTAAGTAATAACTGCACCTTTATTTCCACGTGGAATGCAGACTTAACAGTTGAAAGGTATATTGCTTAAAATAAAATTTTGGAGGAGTTCTAAAGTTTACAGATGGGGTCTGTACTCATACTTTGGGGTCTGTACTCATACTTTGCAGTCTGTAGCTAAACAGAGCTGACTTTCCCATAAAAGCCTGATGTGCAATACAGGCCAAGACAGGACAGAGAGAAGCCAAGTTGTCTTCTCTAAGCTGTGAATATATAGAAATCTTCCTGTTTGCTTAAAGGGAGTTTGGCAACCATGGACTCTGAGAAACAGGCATATGGGAAATGGATGTCCAAGGACATAGTGAATCGCAGCTTTGCAAAAGCTGGAAGAGGTATATTGCTTAAAATAAAATTTTGGAGGAGTTCTAAAGTTTACAGATGGGGTCTGTACTCATACTTTGGGGTCTGTACTCATACTTTGCAGTCTGTAGCTAAACAGAGCTGACTTTCCCATAAAAGCCTGATGTGCAATACAGGCCAAGACAGGACAGAGAGAAGCCAAGTTGTCTTCTCTAAGCTGTGAATATATAGAAATCTTCCTGTTTGCTTAAAGGGAGTTTGGCAACCATGGACTCTGAGAAACAGGCATATGGGAAATGGATGTCCAAGGACATAGTGAATCCCAGCTTTGCAAAAGCTGGAAGGGAGGTCACAGCATTTCTGACTACCACTGTTCCCCACTGCCCCCACTCCCCACCCCCCACATTCCTATGCTCATTCCAATACTTGAGATTTATGTTATTCTTTAACATGAATTTGAGGGTAGGAGCCACTGTTACTCACTGCTGGTGAAAGTGACATTGACACTGTACGACTGTCCTTTGTTCAGTTGGCAGGGCTGGGTGGGGCATGGGCGCACATTCACTTCCTTTATAACTCCAACCACAGAACCTGCAAAAATAGAAAAGTAAATGAGAATAGGAGGAAAAATACCACCCAGGCTGCCCACTACCTAATGGGAAGGTGCTCTGCTCTTCCAATTAGGGTGAAGTGAGCTCGTTCTCCTCTGACTTCTTTCCTGGTATGGAATCTTTAAGACAATGCCCAGTTAAAAGTCAGAATTGTGACTCACCTTACTGCCAAAATCATAGCCTGCAAACAGATGAAAAGGGAGCTAGTTGGTTTCTTGACTAAGAGAAACCTAATAGTTGTCAAATTAAATAATATCCAGAGACAATGTTCACGAAAGATTATATTAAAGGGATTTAACTTCAACCAAATAAACTCCAAATATTCCTAGATTTTTATCTTGTATTCTTAATGGTAAGGGGTCACTTTATACTTAAACCTTTTAAATGTTTGCCTTAACCTTCCTTTTAATTAAAGTATTTAGGTTTTCCCTTTCATTTTCTAGCAAATAGCATGTAAATTTGATGAAAAGTTGTTCAGGATGAGGGAAAAACTGTAATTTATGCCAAAATGGCTAGAAGGCAAACCTGGGGCATGAAATTCCAAGGAGGAAGTTCAGAAATGAGTTACAACATCTTTTAACCTCAAGTTCTACAAGAGCAAATGC